CGGTGTTGATTATATAGAAAAACGTCATATGAACAGATTAAAGGAATTGTAATTTTTAATTTTTTTTAAATTTGTTTGAGCAAAATCGGACTAGTGGTTCTCGAGTTATGTCAAAAAAAGACCACCAAAGGGGACAATTTCCCCTATATGATAGTTATATATATATCTCGATTCCTAGACGTGACCCAGCGAAACGCCGGGACACGTATAACTTGTTTTTGACCGATATAACATTTCCCGTTGGTTTCATCCCATCCCGATTTTGACTGTCGCATAGTGTAATTAGCCACGTAGTCTATGGCTTTGGTAATTGCAAATACCTCAGCCTGGAAGACCGAAGCATATTCCCCAAAAGAAAAAGTGAAGCTCATCCCCATTAACTTCGAAAGAATACTCCAGATTCTGACCCTGAGTGAGTTTTGTAGCCATCAGTGAAGATTCGACAATGTGCGAGTGCGGGATCAGTGCTGGAATTAAACCAGCATTCCTCTCAGGGACCCCCTCTCTGTAGAATCTCTTCAACAAAGGTAATGGTGGCGTACTATCATGTAGCATTGAAAAGACACAAGTGCTCAAATATCTGCCGCCGGCAATTACCGCATCGCCTCACTCAGTGTTATACCAACATCCGTTTCTTTTTAGTCTTCAGGTGGCCTTTAAGGCTTCCCCACGTATGATGACACAAAGTGATGGTAAGTTCACCAGCGCGTCAAGAGCACTTTACATTAAAGTAAAATGAATAGGCTATCAAGCAACCATTTTGGTTCTTTACTATCGAGACCAGATGAATTTTCGTGGACCCCCACTTACAACTCGTGGACCCCCATGTTTTTTCACGCCAACGAAGACTACCCTGTCGAGTCTCCCATGGCCCCTTGGGGTCCACCTGGACCACTTTGGGAATCACTGTAGTACACGGAAAATTGTATTTTTTTATTTTTTTTATTTAGAATAACTTCTTGTCCGGCTATTTGGTATACAGGTATGTAGAGCTATGAATTTAAAAAATTCATTAGGTTTTAGTTGAGATATTCGCCTTTGACCACTATGTTCTGTAAATTTCCCAGTACTGCAAAGCTTTTGCCATTCACTTGGGAGTAGCCAGAAGTGATTTGTTTGCTTACAGTCCAAATCGCAGCTCAATTCGTCCGGATAACTATATCCACATATCCCCTGGGTAGCGGCCAAACACCCTTTTGGGAGCGAGCTAATGTGACAAGGCGTATAACCCCGCGTGCGCTGGGTTTGGGTCCCTGCACGTTAAAACACTACCCAATGAAAAAGCCATGCCTCGGATGAATAAATGTCCTCGGGAAAATAAAGACTGACATCACCGCCATCCATGAAATGCGATGAACGGGGAAAGGCAAGGTAAGCGTGGCCGATTTGTCTCATTGTCCGATTTGGCTCATATTCGAAATATAAATATATTGGTAAAGGGTGGGGCAATACCTACTATGGCACAAAAAGTGCTGCAAGGTGGCGCTGGAGTCGAGTTATTGGTAAAAATCGTCAAGTGAAGTCAATCGGAGAAACCAAGGATCAATTTTAAGTTACCACCGTTAAATCAATCACCATAGCGATTGCGGTCCTTGCTTTACGGCGACTAAACAGAATAATGACAATTCTTGATAAATGCCTTCAAATACACTTGTAACACTTCGAATGTATTTCGTCTGAAATAAGTCGATGTATATTGGATTTCTGTGAACTAATAATACTCCTCCATTTTGAAATTGCCACAAGGACGATTCACCATCGGACCAGATAATTGTTGCCACAAGAACTTCTTCACGGACATAATGCTTTCATTAGGTTATTTAAGACGGCAATGGAGGATATGCCTTCTAACGACAACAAAACCAAACGTGAACGTAAACTGTTGGTAAAAACGTTGGACCAAATGTTCAAATAAAAAATTAATTTTGGGCGGGACGAAGCCTGCCAGTTTTGCTAGTAATAACAAAAAACCGATTTGGTTTTTTTTTAACTTGTAACTTGAATTCCAGTTCTGCTTAGATACAAAAATTTAAAACCAAAGGTTTGTCTCTACGGGAAGGCATTGGTGTTATGGAAGAGACTAAAAATAATTAACTCAAATGGAGGATCAAAAATATTTGAAAACAATTAAATTCAGTCTTGAAAAGAAATTAAGGATTCAAATCTTAGTGTAATATAATCCGCATTATTTTTAATAATAGTAAAAAGTGAAAACTAAATCGATGCATTAACACTACTGGAAATATGAAAATTTCGACCTCCGTCCAATCCTTGAAATAAACTGAATAAAAGACAAAACATTACACTGTACTTAGATTTTTGGTTTTTCTTCGAGCATATTTGGAAGCATATTTTCTAATGTTTTAATGTTTATCTAAGCGTTTAAATTTGCTTTTTTCTTACTTATTTTCTTCGGTCCTGCTCATCACACATCACTTTAGTTGAAACACCACTTTGTAGTTTTTCCAGAATACTAGTTAATCAAAGAAATGCAAAAAGTTAACATTTTGTGAGCGTGCATAAATTTTGTGTGGGCATGCATAAACAAAGAAAGTTGTAGGTATTGAGGTAAAATTGTTTTGAAGTTGCACTTATAAGGGTTACAATGATTTGTTTTAGAGACTTGCACTAATGAAGGAATTGCACGAATTGAGGGTTGCGGTTACCGTGCACGCACTGTATATATTTTTCATCGGATAAAGAGAAATTAAGTTACGAACAATTATAAGGCTCAAACTACAAAAAACGCGTTTTTATACCGTAAGTCCAGATTGTGAGGGGGTATTCAAAATTCTAAGTATGCATATTTGTTGTGCATCATTAGATCTATAACTTTATCAGTCACACAGTGTTAATATCCCGACGAAATCCTAGACGGTGGTATCGGATGGGGTACGGTACATGACGGTAGGAGGTTTAGTTTGGGTTAAAGTCTCACACTGACGGGATTAGGCTTTCGATGCTTCCTCCTCGTAAAAAAAACAAGTGCAGTAAAAAGTTAATTATTTAAATCGACGAATAGTTTTATATCCACTTTTGTGAACTTCTATTTATGTGTTTGTGTACAACATACCTCTATTGGTTACAATAATTTTAAGCTATTATACAAATTTTTTAGTAATAATTATAGGCTTTGAAAAAAAAGATATTTTATATGGCCCCCCACCCCTAAATTTCGTTCTGGCTACGCCCATGTGTAGCTGCATAGAGAGCCACCGTGGCCTTCCTAGCACGCTCCTCAATGTTTGGTTTCCAGTTAAGTTTGGGATCCAAAATAACTCCAAGGTATTTCACCTTCTTTGACAGATCCAGTTCCGTTCATCGGAATCTTGGTTTATTAAAATTAGGTAATTTTGTTTTATTTGTGAAAAGCATAAGGTCAGTTTTCTCCGGGTTTACGCTAAGAAAACAGCTTATGGCCCAGGAATCTACTATCCTTAAAGTCCTTTCCATAATTTCACTTATGACCGAAGGAAACTGACCCGATATCAGTATCGCTACATTCTCCGCTTTGATTCTCTGAGAGTCCAGCTTTACCAGTAGTTTGTTTAAGACCATGAGCCATAGTAACGGTGATAGCACTCCTCCCAGTGGGGTGCCTCCCACTGCATATACGGCCGTGCTTTGGTACCCCAATTCGGCATGTATTAATCTGCTCCTTACCAGAGGCATTATCCAAGCCCGGACACAGTGATCAATCCCTGTTTCCATAAGTGTCTCATGGATGGAATCTACACTGATGTTATTAAAGGCCCTCTCGATGTCTATAAAGGACGCCATTGTAAATTGTTTATAGTAGAGCGAGCTCAATTGTATGTATTACTTCATGTAGGGCACTCTCCGTTGACTTCCCTTTCAAGTACGCATGTTGAGAGCATGATAAATTGGACGTCTTGTCCCTAACATACAGATCCAACAGCCTCTCAAACGTCTTGAGCACAAAGGACATTAGGCTTATTGGTCGGAAATCTTTAGCATTGTCATGGCCCCGTTTGCCGCTTTAGGAATAAAAATTACTTTAAACTTCCTCCAGCTTAACGGGACGTGGTTCAGTATTAGGCACCCTCGAAAAATTTTTTCTAGGACTGGAATGACCATCTCAGAAGCTTTCTGAAGCATGACTGGTAGTATTCCGTCCATAACCGGTGATTTATAGGGTGAGAAGCTGAATATAGCAAACTTTACCTTTTCCCTCTACAGTGGCTCCTCTAAGAGGTCCTCGGAGAGGCTTGGTAAATGGTCTGGGGAATCGGTTTTCACTACATCGATTTTTCACGCTAGAAAATGTGTATTCAGAAGGATATCCAGCGACTCCCCGGCCGACTCGGTCCATGAACCATCTGACCTTTTTATATATGTTGGCTGTAAGTGCCCTTTGGCAAGGATTGTGCTTAACCTCGCAGATTCCTTGGTATCCTCGATGGATTCGCAAAATTCCCTCCAGGACGCCTCCTTGCCGTCCCGTATCGCTTTTTTGTATTTCTTTAGGTTCTCTTTGTATAGGTTCCATACCTTAACCCTGTAGCATTCGTTAAAGGATTTTCTTACTTGTTTCCGTGGCGCTGTAAGGTTCTCATTCCACCAAGATGTGCGCGCTTTCTTGCCATACCTCAGAGGACAAGCCTACTTAAGGGCTTTTCTGCTTTGGCGTCCAGTTCGCCCCTTGTAGGAATGTCTTCAACTGGTAGTTTCTTCAATTCTTTTCCAATAACCTTTTGAAATAAGTCCCAATCTGTTTTACGAGGGTTTCAAAAAGGAGGAGGCGTATCCGTCGCAATATTTAACCCGATGGTCCGAGAGGGACTCGGACTTAATCCGGATCAACTGCAGTTAATTCCCGAGTTGATCCAGATCAACGCTGCCGTCTGTTTATGCTTTTAGGTCTATGACCTCTTCCCAACCGCAATAATCAGGGGTGCTAGGAAATATGAAGGTGGGAGCTCTACCTCTATTACAAATCCTAAACATAGGATTAATAATATATTGAAATAGTGACTCACCTCTTTCGTTGGTTCCCGAGCTGCCACATAATGTATGTCGTGAATTGGCATTGCAGCCGAGTAACACTGGACTAGCTCCTACTAGCCTTTGTAAAGTGATGACTTCCTGTGGCGGACACGGCCTGTCGTGCGCCGTGTATACGGATGATATAAGACAGCTTTGCTTATTCATCAACTCCAAGTTGACGACTGTAGTATCCGGTGAGCTGAAATTGGAACATAAGAAAGCTTTAATATGTTTTTTAACCAATACACATGCGCGGGGTTTACCTGATATACTAATGTAGAAGAGGTTATAGCGAGCGTCGGTGAATCCCTTTACCTCTAGGTCCCTTACCCAAGGTTCCTGTATCAACGAGATGTCCATGTCTTCCTCCCTTAGGAAGACACGGAGCTTGTCCGAGGCAGCCTTGAGTGCCTAAGATTTGCCTGGACCACCTTCATCGACTTTCTCGGCGTTGGTAACTGGGTCTGTGCCTGCCAGCACCTGGTTGGCACCTTCAGCGACCTCTTCGTCCGCGGTAACCTTGAGGTTCATATCGCCCAACATCTGGTTGGAATCCTCGATATCAGCCTCTGGAATCGGCTCATTGGAGCGGAATATTTTCAGTTTCGCTGTTCTCACTCCGAAGTGCAGCTTGTTGTCCATTTTTTGCAATGGCTCAATACTTTCTTTGTTAAGCCTCAGAAGGTACAAAGAACTCTTCACGCCCTCTAGAGGCTTTTCTGCACGAATGACTATTAAGTCAATCATGGGTATTTCTGGAATCTGCCGTTGCAGGAAACGGATCAACTTGTCGCTGTCCATAGTCATCTTCGGCAGCCAAATGCGGGCCCTGGGTTTCCTAGGTACCTCCTCGGCAGGGATTAGTTTGAACGCGTACTCCTAGAATGTTTGATGCAATACCCAAATACTTTTCCACGCTTTTCCATCTATGTATGTACTTAAATAAGTGCAGTCACCCTGCAGGGAAACCGGGGACTAGTCAATCAAATTTCTTGTTCCGTACTACATCTTTATCGCAAAAAAACGAACCAGTCCGATAGTAACTAGAGCAATTAAATCTATATGCATTTAATAATACTTTAGCATGTACATATATGATAAAGTAACTTAAGGTATGTCGAAAAAAAGCTTGATGCAAAAAAAATTAAGTAAAAAAATTTATTTTCTGGTTCAAAGCAGTGATGCCAGATATTCTCTGCTAAATTACCCACGGAAATCGGGGAAAAAATCCCTCAATTACCCACATCTTAAAAATTTATCCCACAAAATTCCCAAACAATTCAAAACATGTATTTCAGTAGTAAAAAAGTAGCATTCATATATGTACTTACTTCGTTACATTAATATACATATACGTATAATATTCTTTCGAAATGCGAAGATCGGTAGATTACGCACTAAAAACCTTAAAGAATTCTGGAAATTCTTAAAACTACCACTGTTACAATTTATTTGCATTGTCTAAGCAAATATGATTTTTGTTGACTTTAAAGCTGAATCACTTACATTTTTTTTTTGATTCAAAAGCAACCGTTATTTTATATACATACATGTACTATTTAACTTTTCATCAGATAATTTGGGCTGCTTTTTACATTAAAACCCAATTACAATTGGAAAGATTCATTCTTAGTCAGCGCTCGAATTGGTTAAAGTGAGAAAAATTTCCAAATTTTCCTTTTTTTAATACTTATACATAGCTTTACTCCACATCACAACTTCAGAACGATTA